CTCCTCCAGGTCATCCATAGTTTATTCAAGAATTGCTTTTTTAAAAAAACATCGAGGTATATTAATATACTAAACATCGAGGTAACTTTTCACTTATCGTGTTTCTGGAGAGCAAAATTTGCATTTTCTGCGAGGCGCTTCCCTTTTGCGCCCAGTTTGTATATCTCCCCCCCGTTTTCCGCGTTTTTAACTGAACTCTATATGATACTGTAATATGATTACTTATTACATTTTAATATATAGTTTGAAGCGCCTGGGTACGAGGCTGGCCGCCGTGCCCGTTGTTGTTTTCGCTTCGTTCTGTGGCGTAGTTTTCAAGGCTGTTTTCGCTGCCGTGCCCATTGTTGTTTTCGCTTCGTCCGGTGGCGTAGTTTTCAAGGCTGTTTTCGCTGCCGTGCCCGTTGTTGTTTTCGCTTCGTCCGGTGGCGTAGTTTTCAAGGCTGTTTTCGCTGCCGTGCCCGTTGTTGTTTTCGCTTCGTCCGGTGGCATAGTTTTCAAGGCTGTTTTCACTTCGCCCGGTGGTGTAGTTTTCAAGGCTATTGAGGTTTTTCCTCAAGCAACTCCATCTCGCCCTCAATATTCAAAAATTTGCATACATCGTCAATCGAGTTCTCTATAGTGTTCATGGTCAATCCCGAATTTTCGTATAATCGTATTCGCTAATCCATGGTTTTGGTTATATCTTTCGCATGCGGGTTCGCATTCGTGACCTCACGATATGCTCTTACGTATTCATGATAGATATACGAGTGCTTTGCTGTAAATCGACCCCAGTAGAGTATAGTATTTAATCTAGATTTGGTTCTAGCACAATTATTTCTTAAAATAAAGTTACATACCTCTAAAATTAGAATTTTAACTTCAATTCCGTTAGCACGTTTCGTGGCTTTTTAGCAAATAACAATCTAAATTTGAACTTGTGACTAACAAAAAAACGCCGCCGGAAATAGTGTGCGACGGTTCCTAATTGTTTTGATTGACTTGCCAATCAAAATTGCAACATTGCGTCACAAAATTGCAGTGTTGTTCGTAAGAGAGCATCCGGTTTGACTATAAAGTTCTGCATAATTTAACAGTCCATAACATGATTATTTACTTTTGCGTTACTGGGGAAACACATGTGAATTTACTGAAATGCATTACGAAAACAAGGAGCATTATTTAATAAACGACAATTCTTTTCATATTTTTGTCTTACTTTTAACAGGTTCCCGAATAATGCAATGTAATGCAATATAATGGTTAGCAACTGGCTAACGCGTTGCTGAATGACATTAGAGAATTCCTCACGAAAAACCAGCCGCACACAATAATAATAATAATAATAATAATAATAATAATAATAATAATAATAATAAAAGTATTTCTATAGCGCACAACCAAATTGTGTTCTGTTCTAGGCGCTTTACAGTAAAATCTAATATTAAAACTATTAAAATATCTAAATCATTAACAAACCTAATAATATAAATGTTAAGACCAACGTCATACATTATTCAAAAATAAGTTAAAAAGATATGTTTTAAGATTTTTTTAAAAACAGTAATTGATTTGCACATCCGAAGATTAATGGGTAATTCGTTCCACAATCGTGGTCCCGCGACACAGAATGATCTATCTCCAAATGTCTTCAGTCTAGAACAGGGAATCTGGAGCAATTCACAGTTATTTGATCGAAGTGAACGCTGCGAAGTATGATAATGCAAGAGTTCCTTCAAATACGGTGGAGCAAGGTCGTTCATAGCCTTATACACATGAAGGATAATTTTGAATTGGACACGATATTGGACTGGTAGCCAATGCAATTCAATAAGTACTGGTGTAATATGTTCCGATTTCCTAGTACCAGTTAATAGACGTGCTGCAGTATTTTGGACTCTCTGTAGCCTCTGGAGTAAATATTTTGATACACCATATAGCAGTGAGTTACAGTAATCCAATCTTGAAGTTATAAAAGCATGAATGATTATTTCAAGACAGTCCCGAGACAAATACTTCTTTATTCTTGAAATGTTTCTGATATTATAAAAAGATGACTTGCAGATACCATTAATATGTTCCTCCAATTTAAAGAACTCATCAAAAATAACCCCCAAATTTCTAGCTGAACCATGCAGTTGGTACAATTCTGTCATCACCCACCATGATATAATTCAAGGGAGGCATAGGGCGATAGCGTGAATGGACTAATATAAGTTCTGTTTTTTCACTATTTAGTTCCAATTTATTCAGCATCAACCAGTTTCTAATTTCAAATATACATTTTTCCATACGAATCTTAGATGAGATCAATTCACCAGGATCATTTGTTTTGAATGCAATGTAAAGTTGTCCATCATCAGCAAAAAAGTGAAAACGGAGATCATGACGCCTAGCCATATCTGCAAGCGGGGCAGTGTACAATGAATATAACAGCGGACCTAATACCGACCCCTGCGGTACACCACATTCAAGATCACGCCATAGCGAATCTGTTCCCTCAACACGAACAAATTGTTTCCTAGATATAAGATATGAAGTAAACCAATCCAAAACACGACCCTTTATACCAAATCGCTTCCATAATCGTGTCAATAAGATCGAATGATCTACGGTGTCAAACGCTGCTGACAGATCCAGTAGAACAAGAATGACAGAGTTTCCATTGTCGAGGTCTTGGATAATATCGCTTTGAACCCTTAATAATGCTGTTTCTGTACTATGACGAGACTTATAGGCAGACTGGAACTTCTCATGTAGTTTATTCTCGTCAAGATAATTCATTAATTGTACAGCAACTGCTTTCTCAATAGATTTCGAAACAAATTTCAAATTAGATATTGGACGAAAGCTGCAGAATTCTTCATAGGAGAGACCACACTTTCTTAATAACGGTTTAAGAACAGCAATCTTTAGAGAGTCAGGCATTAAACCATTTTCCAAAGATAAATTAATTATTCTCGTTATAATGGGCACGATGTCTTTTAGGCAATGTTCCAGCATAACCGCTGGAATAGGATCTAGAACACATGATTTCATTGCAATCTGTTGAATTAAATCGAACATCTCATTGTTACCAACTTCCTTAAAAACACGAAGTTCATGGGGACATGAATCACCATCGGGAAATGGGTTTTCTACATCATTAATTAAGAGGGTGGCATTGATTTCACCTCGTATTTTAACAATTTTCTGCGTGAAAAAATCACAAAATGAGTTTGCAAGTGACATTGGGTCAGGAGATGATGGATATCGGGTAGTCGTATTTTTGTGCAGCAAATTACTTACGGTCTTAAAGAGAGTTCTTTGATCAGATGACCCATCCTTGATTAAGTCAGTATAGTAAGCCGATTTTGAGGAGTAAATCAGTTTATTCACAACATAACATTGTTGTTTATACAGATTTCTATCAGCATTCATCCTTGTTTTACGCCATTTTCTCTCAAGTTGTCTCCGTTTTCGTTTTTGAACATTGATTTCATCAGTATACCAAGGTGCCTTTGGGCGCAATGTAATTTCCCGGAATTTAGCCGGTGCATGTTTATTTAAGATAGTATGGAGACAGTTATCATATTCACGTACCAATGTTTCCAGATCCATAGTCATAAAATCTTTAAGGGAAGAATTTAGAACATCTGCTTTAAATTTACGCATATCAATCGCCCGCAGATTACGAGAAAGCAAACGTTTCTTCGCAAATTTTGGTTTCCTAAACAAAAGATGTAGATGCAAAGCAAAATGATCAGAGATCGAAGGATCAACGATGTTACAATGGTTAACAATATTTTCTTCTGATCGCGTTATTACCAAATCCAGGGTATGACCACCAGAGTGCGTCGCTCCAGAAACGTGCTGCTTCAAGTCAAATGAAGCTAAAAGATCCAGGAACTGCTTAGCAAGAAGGTCATTTGAATTATCCAAATGATAATTGAAATCTCCAACGATCAAAAGTTGTCTGGGTGATGCAATAATTCCTTCCAGCGAGTTAGCCGATGAAGGTGGCGGTCGATATACAACTATAACTCTAATGGGTACAATGTCCAAAAAGGAACAGTCAAGATATTCAAATGATCTAAATTCCTCCTGTACATTACAATTGATATTAAGGCTCTCTTTGAATAAGAGACCAACACCACCACCAATTGATCCATGCCTTGGTGTATGCAAAAATTTGCAGCCTGTTGGACATAAGTCTCCAATAGTTAGTTCATTCCCATTTGGAGCGAGCCATGTTTCCGTTAAAGCAAAAACGTCGATATTATTATCCACAGCAAAATCCTTAATCATCATGGTCTTGTTTCTGACAGATCTGGCATTAAGAAGGAAAAAAATCAAGCAAATTAGTTTCATCACATTTAAAATTTATAGGTTCTATAGGCACTGTAATTAAGTTAGAGTGAAAACTGTTCATGTCCAAGTTCTGCTGCGGACCAATTCCAGGTGCCTGAGCCAGTCGGTCTGATACCGATGCCAAAAAACCTGATGCGCACGTCTCTGCTTATTTACTCGATTTGAGTTAACTGGCATTCGACGATGTGTAATACGTACTGGAATGCTATGAGTACGTTGATCTTGATCCCGTGAATAATTAGAGATTACATTTTCAACAGGAGCACTATAATGACAATTTTGTCTTTCCCTAATTTTCAATTTTGCTTTACTTGACTTGCTTGTTACACCGTTAGAAGTATACATTGCACGATGAGTAATTCGTACTAGAATTATTTGACTTCGTTGAACTTTAACTTGCAACTCATTAGAGTCAGCCTTATTGTTAGACCCCGTTTACACTAGAGCGAAAGTTTCCGGATTCATCACGAAAGCGGGCTGTTTTAGTACTGGATTCATGTTGCTGTTTACACACGCAGCAACGAATCCGATAGAAAATGTACTCGGTTTTAAGCCGTATCCGGAAACTTTGAATCCGTAAAAGTTTGTGGAAACTTCGTATCCAGAAACATTTGAATCCGGAAAATTTTCTTGTGTAAACGCTTTGCACGAGGAATCCGAAGAAATTCAATATGGCGGATACTGATGTTGAAGATGTTGCCCTTTTACTTAATATTCTACAAACTAATATGATATATATAATGCTGGCTATCGATACATACAAAAGAAAACACAAAACGCTTCAAAACATCGTTATGAGCTCTATACTGAGTACAAAGTTCCAAAAAAATACGTAAGCGAACGCCACATCGATGTTGGATAAATCCAGGACGCACAAGCATATGGTGGGAAAACTTGCTTAACGGAGTATCCCCGGAAAATGAGTGGAAAAGAAACTTTAGAATGTCTCGAGCAAACTTTATGCTACTATGCGATGAGCTTCGACCCTTCATTGAAAGAGAAACAACACGAATGAGACATCCATTATCTGTTGAGATGCAAGTAGGCATAATTTGTACTATTTGTCTGATGAAGGCAGATATAAAAAGGTGGCCAATGCATTTGGAGTAGCTAGGTCGTCTGTATCCAAGACTGTGAGAAGTGTTTGTGTTGCAATTACTGATTTTCTTGGACCAAAGTACATTTTAATACCAACTGCTGAGAAAGATTTAAATGAACTGGTCAAAAACTTTTATGATTACCATGGTTTCCCACAATGTATTGGGGCCATAGATGGTACCCACATTCCGATAAAAGAGCCAAGTGACAATGCTAGTGATTATATCAACAGGAAGGGATATACATCACTTAATGTTCAAGGTACATGTGACTACAGATATCGGTTTATTGATGTGGTGTGCAAATGGCCTGGAAGTGTACACGACGCCCGGATTTTTAGGAATTCAAGCCTAAATACAAAGTTCAGAGATGGTACAATTCCCCCTTGTTACAAAACAATTGTAGATGGGGAGGATGCAGTACCTATATGCATACTAGGCGACCCTGCATATCCATTACTTCCATTTCTTCTTAAAGAATTTGCTGGTGGTGGCACTACACCTAGTGAACAGTTCTTTGGATATAAATTATCCTCAGCGAGAATGATTATTGAATGTTCATTTGGACGATTAAAAGCTAGGTGGGGAGCTTTGAAGAGGTCGATGGATATTTCTATAGAATATCTTCCAAGTGCTGTTGTTTCTTGCTTTGTACTTCACAATTTTTGTGAAGTGCATGGTGAGACTGTACTGAAGATGCAGTAAGAGATGAATGCAGGTATGATAAAGAATTTCAGCCTTCTACAGTCCACCCAAGTTATGGAACAGCCATCAATGAAACAGCTGGAAAGAGTATCAGACAAATTTATGTGAAATACTTTGATTAAGGTTATATAATTTTACAGATAAAGAAAATTAATCTTTTCAGATCAATCAGGGAAAGTGACTTATTATTACAAGAGAAACAGGCATTGTAATGGTAGTAAAAAGGAACATGACTAATGTGTGTGTGTGTGTGTGTGTGTGTGTGTTAATGTGTGTGTGTGTGTGTGTGTGTGTGTGTGTGTGTGTGTGTGTGTGTGTGTGTGTGTTTCTGTGAAACACACATTGTGGGAGCTCCCACAAGTTTGTGTCTTACCTTACGCGGACTTAGGACATTGTGTGGCCTCAGAGCGAGTCCACAGAATGTTTATCAAGATTTTTCATCTGAAAATGAGGATCCTAATGAAATTTCCTCAATCGCATTGAAAAACACAACTCGAACAGTTCAGGACGTATCAGAAAAGTCGAAAAAAAAAAAAAATAGCGAATTATAAGAAAAAACAAAGTCTTCCCACAATGACATTTCACAGGTTCAGTGTAAAAAATGTGTATAAAATGCGACTATCATTGTGGTAACTTGTACAAGAATTTTTCCATAATGTGGACTTGCATTTTATGTCCACACAGTGCTACACCTGTAATACACGAGGACCGCACAATGCTTCTGCTTTGTTCATGACTTATACACAATTTTATTCAGCTAGCATGGCAGTCATTAAGACATTATACATGTTTCGATCAATAATGAAATGCTGATATTATCTTCCCTCGCAGCATGCCAAAAGGGACCTTAAGCATGTAGGACGGGGGCACGACGACGATGTTATCAATACAATAGGTCACTGAAAATAAATAAATATTTAGCCCTATATTGTTGACGTGCATCTCGATTTCAGCGATTTTTGTTGGTCGGGGGCCGGTTGTATAAAAACGTAGTTAGCGCTAACTGCAGTTAAAAAGTAGTTAAAAAGAGTTAAAAAGTAGTTAACTTTAATCACGTAGTTAAGCCGGTTGTATAAAAGTGTAGTTAGCCTTAACTGCAGTTAAAAAGTAGTTAAAGTTAACTATCCTCAAGGGCGTCGTTAACTTTCCAAATCGTAGTTAAAAATGGCGTCTTGAGCTTTTGAGGAGTGAGAAAACATTAAAATCAACACATACCAAGGTTGTCAACCGTTATATACTCAAAAAAGGCCCCGTCGAAGCTTGTAAACTTTCAATATGCTTTTATTTTTTTCATTTGGGCAGCAACGGAGTATATTTTTGCTTCGGGAGACGTGCATGTCGATACCAAATTGCGATCCTACTTCCTAGCAAAGATTAGCCATCTCCATTTTCAACTGCAACCGGTATTTTGACTCAAAGGGACCTTCTATATTAAGAGCGCCATTTTCGTTGAATTATTTTGAATTTTTTCTTTGTTTTATTGCATTTTTTCCAATATTTTAGATCAAAATACTGTCAATTTTTGTAAACACGAGTCCACAGTCTTGTTCAAAATCAATAATAGCGGTCAATAATTTCGAGACACTTCATGTTATTTCTCTGTTTAACAACCCCACGCAAGCTCCACGCAAGTTAACTACGTGATTAGTTAATCATCCGACTAACTACGTTTTGTGCAACGCAGTTAAGTCGTGTAGTTAACTAATCATAGTTAAGGATTTAACTACAGTGATTAGCGCTAATCACAGTTAAAGTTAACGAAGTTTTTATACAACCGGCCCCAGGATGATTTTTTGAGCACACGTAGCATAGTACTGCGGTTTCATCCTATACGAATGCGTAATATTCGCGATCTCAACTCGGGAGAATTGACGATATAATATTGTATAGTTAATCATTATGTAAACAAGATTAAGTTTTTTGACGCACAATATTGCCATTACTATCTGGAAGTACTACGTGTATTCACTCACAGCATTTTACTTATAATTTGTAATTCTACTTGTGGGAGACGTAGGACGCAGTGAGCGGTACCTCGAATTAGGCTCTCAGAATTGTTCCCAAATATTAACACAATGTTTTCAACGTCTTATACCTGATTAAATAGATACGATTGATAATATACAACAACTCTTTACCATAGTATTTATTTAAAGAAATGTCTAAGTCGCGTGCTCGTTTTGCCGTCTTACATTTTTTTTTTTTTTTTTTTTTTTTTTTTATTATTTTTTCCCCTATGTACAGTTTCATCTATACCTGTTAATAAGTTTTCTATAGTAACTTGGGCTAGAGACCTACTAGAAACCTTGACAGGCTTTTCAATTTAGGCCCCTAGTTAAAGTTCAATTATATTAATCATATATGTACAATCAAATCAGCAAAATCAGCAAAATAATTTTTAGAGTACTACTATTTACAGAAAGAAGAAAGATAAAGTAAAAATTAATTATAATACCAATAGAAGATAGAATACCACAATACATTTATGCTACGAGTTCCTAGATAATATACATAAAAAGTAGAATATTTTCAGAACCATTATGCTGTATTTAGCAAAAAATGTTTTTTAATATGTCTCTTGAAAACGCTATGAGAGTTTATGTTTTTAATTTTTAATTCTAGTGAATTCCACACATCAGCTCCATTATTTGAGAGAGTATGTTTTACATAATTGTTCTTTTATACCGCTTATGAATCTTTGATGAGTTCTCGTATTATGTTCATGAATTTGATTACTGGTCACAAAGAAATTATCAAATTCTTCAGGTAGATTTTTAAGATGATGATATCGAAACATAAACATAGCAGTTAAATAATGATTTAATTTAAAGACATCTAAGATGCTTAACTCTTTGAAAATCTGCTCAGAATGTTCCAGGTACGATTTAAATGTCATTAATCGTACAATTTTTTTTTGAATATTCATTATTTTTTGAATCCTGGTTTTGTAGGTGTTACCCCAAATCAAGTTGCCGTAAATAAGATATGGATAGACTAAGGCATAGTAAATTAACTTAATTGAATTTCTGTTGACAAAATGTCGGATTTTTGCAATTATAGCGGAGGCTCTAACGATTTTTTTTGATACCTTTTCAATATGTTCATTCCACGTCAGACATTCATCAATGATAATACCTAGAAAGTTTGTACTTTTGACTTGCTCAATATGTATATTATTTATCGTAATTTTAACTTCATGTTTGGGTTTTTTATTTGAAGGTCTGAATATAATAAATTTTGTTTTAGTAATATTTAGGGATAATTTATTAACATTTAACCATTCAGTTACATTATTCATTTCTGTTTGCATGGTTTCACTAATTGTTTTAAGACAATTATTACTATAAAATATATTAGTATCGTCTGCAAATAATACAAATGAAACTAATTTACTGCAATTTTCAATATCATTTATATATAATAGAAACAGAATAGGTCCAAGAATTGATCCCTGTGGGACTCCAGTCTGAATTAACATCTCTTTTGACCTAATTTGATCGTATTTGACGATTTGCTGCCTATTTGATAAGTAGTCTTGAAACCATAGTTGAGCTACTCCCCGAACACCGTAGTGTTCTAGTTTTTGAATCAGAATCTTGTGATTAATTGTGTCAAATGCTTTTGACAAGTCTAGGAAAATACCTATTGTATATTCTCCATTATCGATTGCTTTAGTTAATCTGTTAGTAAGTTCAATTATTGCAAGTTCAGTGGATCTGTTTTCTCTGAAACCATATTGATGCTGTGTTAATATTTTGTTTTTTTCAATAAATCTAATTAATCTTTTATACATGAGCTTTTCTAACAATTTTGAGAAACAAGTGAGAACAGATATTGGTCGATAATTTTTAAACTCGTTTTTTTCATTTGCTTTGAAGACTGGTGTGATCAATGCTTTTTTCAAGTCATCAGGAATAATTCCACTAATAAAAGTTAAGTTGAAAATGTGTGCAAGAGGTTCGGAAATTTGATTAGCAACACTCTTGATAACTTTCGCGCTTATACCGTCGTACCCTGGGCTTTTCTTGATATTTAATTCAGTAATTTCAGTTTCTAATTCATATTTGGTTATAGGCTCGATGAAGAAGCTATTTTTATAGCTACCCGTTAGAAATTCATCAAAAGTTCTTTCATTACATGTACATGCTTAATAATGTCCCTAATATTAAATCCCCGAGCCTGTAGGAAGTGAAGCGCACTTACTTTAGTACTCTTGGCGCGTTATTTGATGAACGTCTTTTACTACCCGGCGAAAATATTTCAACAGTCCGTACTGGCGCTAAAGTCAACCTAATGCTCATTGATTGTAGTATTTATGGTCGTCTATCAATGTGAATTTCCTTTTCATCGATCTTTTCAATCTGTGACTCGTCCAACAATCGTAACAGCTTCTTGAGAAAAGACAAATAATGTTTATGCGCCATTTTATAATAGTAGAAATAGTAGATATTATATGAATAAATCAATAAAATACAGTTGGAAATTTTGAACGGGACCGCTGTTGTCCGGTTACAATTCGGAAAGTGTCGGATGACACTCGGAGCATACTCGCACCTATATGCTCGCACCATCAATAAAAGATGATAAAAGACCTTTGTATGGTATTCTTCAGAATTTCGTGATATGGTAAACGGTTTATTCTTTTTCTTGCCGTTTTTCCGAAATTATCACCTAGTACGATATCAAACGGCAGAGTCAAAGACAAGGTTGACGAACCTGATCGATACAATCCAATGGAGGATAATATGTGTTCGCATTCATGAACTCAAAAATTATGAGATAATATATAAAAAGCTTGTCGCAAAATCTCCATTCCCGTTGGAAAACTAAAGAAGGGATTGTCCTGGACGAATTTAGCGGCTAATCATCTAAGAAATGAAGATTTTTATTCCCACAAGGTACATGTTGAAAGATAATTTTGAATTTTATTGTCAGAGGGTAAATTATAAGTGTGCATAATTTGTGCAATCGGGTATCTGAAGTCTGAACAAAAATTTATC